GGTCGGATAAGTGGATAGTTGAAAATTTCAAAGGGCATGTTTTAAACTCTAGATTGTTATGAATCCAGACTAAAGGCCAAATCAACTGTCCTTTGAGCCAATATTCCAAAATTAAAGTTTCTTAGCTATACCCAAGTAGGAGCAAAGAATTTAAGGGTATGATTTTGAAATAGGTAGGAAAGTCCCTCCATCCAACAACACAACAATTACTACTACTACCACTATTACTACGCCTCATACCAAAATAAGTTGGGTTCGCCTATATGAATCCTCACTGACTATGTTTACCCATTTAAGTTCATCTCTGGCCAATATTTTACACAAAATACAAATAAAAATGAGAAAAATCAGAAGTTCTCTACATTTCCTACTAGCATAAGAATTTCGAAAACGGCTAAAAGACTCCTAGAAAGCATAGGACCTAAAGTAAACATATTAAGTCCCTCCATCCAACAGGCCCAAAAAGAATTCGAAAGTGCCTACAGCACGAAGTTCCATTAATTGACACAACAGCCAGACAATATGCGACATGCATCAACACATAAGAGACATGGATCTTTTCAGCAGAAACCAGGAATGAGTGCATAACAGAAATAGAAAGAATGAAGGTGCCGAAAACCCTGCTTGTCGAGCAAATAGAACTTGTTTAGATATAGTGATGGTGACTTCAGGTAATTGTAAAATCAAGAAACCAGGGACCATTTATTCGAACCATATGTGAAGGTGTTTGAATCATATGTGAAGGCCCCTATGTAGTAATGCTCATCAGATAATTTCACATCTTTACTGGCCCACTTTTGCCTTAAGTAAGGCCTCTTTCATAATGATCAAGCATTTTCTAATATAAACTTCAACAAACAGAAGATATCAAAGAATCCAACCGTACTCGTTTTCTTCTGTTTTTGAATATGTTTACAGTTCTCTTTTGAGAATAAATGGACATTCCACACAGCTCCAAAAAAATTCCTGGCTGTAATAATTTCTCTCCATAAACCAGCAGGTGAACAATCAACTAGTTTTGCCCCATTTCCCCCTTTGCCTCTCCTACTTTGTTCCATACCTATTCTATTGTCATAGATATGACTTATATGTGAACAAGGTCAAAAATTTTGACTTTCTTAATTCGAGAAATCTTTGGCTAAAGTCATAGATTGATCTGATGATGCAACACAGGCCAGCTAAACTGAGCTAAATTTACCAGCAGGCCAAAGAAAGGAGCCAAATGCAATTGCCACCAAAGGGCAGCCCGGTGCACTGGGCGGGGTTTGGGGAAGGGTCGGACCACAAGGGTTTATTGTACGCAGCCTTACCTGCATTTCTGCAAAAGGCTGTTTCCACGGTTCAAACCCCTGACCTCTTGGTCACATTTGCAGCAGCTTTACCTGTTATGCCGATTGCCGCCGGAAGAATATAAAAGGTGATTAAAAAAGAGATAGATAAGATGCAGCAATGCAACATACAAATGAGCATTAGAAGCATTGATTCATCAACAAATTTGCTGGAAAAAAAATTGAAGAAGAAATCTAAAAAAAAAAGAGAAATACATACCAAAAAGCAGTGTAATTAGAGAAACCAGAAGCAGAAACCATGAACACAATTGACCCAACTGCAAAGAAACACTGGCCAAGTCTCAAAAACAATCCACTCACACTTCCTGGACTACCCACCGGCTCTTTCATTCTCTAAAAAAGTTTGCAAATTTGACACCTTTTATGCTCCAAAAAAGGGTCCTTTTTCCCCCCAAGAAAACTAAAAGGGCCCTTTCAAGATCCTTAGATCCCTGTATTTTCCTTCATCTCAGTGACCAAATTGCTATGTACCGATCTTTGCATCTATGTTAGATTTGAAGAGAAGAGGACGAGAAACCAAATCATCCAAACAGTAAGTCCAAGTTAACCGTTGAGCTGAATAAAGCAATTTAGAAAGTACACTTGATGCTGTGTTTTGTTCCCTTTTTACTCCCTTATTTTTTATTCTAACTAGTACTAATATTAAAGAGTATTAAAATATAAATCCTCATAAGTCATACCAGTAAACAGCCAAGCCCCTCGATTCGATAACAAGAGTAGACTTTACAGCGGACTTGTGTTAGTGGCTGCTAAAAAGTACATAGATATGTATCTACTTTTCTTTTTAGGGTGTGGTGTTATAGCGGTTTTTCTTACTTATTTTTTAGTATTTGGTCAGGCAGCAAAAAAAATATTTTTGAAAAATATATAATTTAGACAAATGACGAAGTGGGCAAGGGCAGGGAGAGTAGTAAGTCGAGGTCTCAGGGCCGAAGTGACAGTGGTGATATTAGGGGGTGCCGGATAAGGACGGATCTATATGGGAGGGAATGAGTTCACATAACCCATATTCCCCTCCCTAGACTATGTGTAGCACTTGTAATTTTATTTTATTTTTATTTTATTCTTAAATAGATATGTGTGAACCCATGCTCGCGATAAAGGAGTGCACCTTCGCCTCCAAGGGAAGGCCATAAGTTATTCTTTAAAAAGAAATTTTTTACTTAAATGTTTCCTGAAAGATAAAAGAGAACTTCAAACTTGAAAGGTTAATCTCTCAAAAAAGTTTATATTTTGTCAAGAAATGAAGTACCGTAAAAAGATAATAAAATAAATCTTAAACTCGTATTATAATCAAAATTAATAGTGCAAATCACATGAATAAATAAATTTTTAATAATTTTTAGCTTGCTATATAAAACGTAAGATATTTAAAACTGTATTGTAACTCCATCTTTTCCTGTTGAAGATTGATAGTAAGTTGTAAGTGTTTGTTGAAAAAAAGAACTTCAAACTTGAAAGGTTACTCTCTCAAAAAAGTATATATTTTATCAAGAACTAATAATGCAAATCTTAAACTCTCACCATAATAAAAAACTAATAATATAAATCACATATCTACATAAAAATAAAAGTACATACAAAGATGTACGTAATAGGATAAATCAAAAAAATAATTATTAATTTTGGCTTGCTAGATAGAACGTAAGATATTTAAAACTGTAAGTTATGAACACTATTACTGATAATTTTTAAAGTATAAAACCGTGTCGAGAACATAAATAATGCTAATAATATTAATTAGAGTTTGCTCGTTAATTTAGATCGCCGTAATTTTTTTTATTGTCAAATCATATATTTATCTAAAAGTAGTGGTACCCATGCACTTAAAATTCTGGATACGTTTCTGGTACCGGGGGATGGGTGGGGTAGTGGGTGGGGGTGAGGATGGGAAAGATTGAGAAAGAATTTTGGAAAATATTTTATCTCTTTTGGTAGGGAAGTCATTTTCTCCGATTGAAGAAAAATGAGTTCATGGAAAAAATATTTTTCAAAATAGTTAAACCAATCAAACATGAAAAAATTTAAAAAAAAAAAAAGCAAAAATTATTTTCTTCATACCAAACACACCCTTACGTATGTATTTACCCTCACTTAGAAACTTTACATGTCAATTAGAGTAAGACATGCTTTCTTATTAAGCTACGCTCGTTCTTGCTTATGACGATTAATTTACTTTAAACTAGTTTGATAATTAATTATCTCGCGCTATATAAAGCTATGACTTAATAAATTTGAATCTCGAAAATTATGACAATAATGCTAAATATATTGAAACATTCTTAAATTAAATATAGTTTAAAGGAGGGGGCATTTTGTTTTTTTGGTTTTTTCATTTCCTTATATATATATAACTTCTATATTTATTTGCTTTTATATATTTTTACTTTCTTTAGTGCAAATGATGGCTTCACTGTTAGAATTTGCGGTAACGGGAAGCTTTGTACTCATTTTGATGGCAGCCATGGGAGACAATCCTGTGTGGGATTTGCTTTTAATGTTTGTTGTTCACTTTTAATTGTTGTTTGTGTCTTTGTTGGATCTGTCACTATAATGGAATCTTAGGAAGGTTGGATCTGGTCTTGCCACGTAGGTGTGAGTGTTGTTGACGTCGGTGGTGTTTGTTAATTATGTGCTTTGCCATTGACAAATGAAAATTTTCTAACACATGTATGGTAGCAAATTACTCAACATATTCAAGAGAATTTAGTAGGCTGTGCATGAAATTGATGGAGTGTGTGTCTTTCATAATTTCTGAATTCGAACTTGAAAAATGAGTTGAGGTGGAAAAATGTTCCTGTAAATTTTGGAATTTACTAAAAGAATACACTTTCAAACTAATATTTAATTTTTCATTTGAAATTTAATTATTGCATTTTAATGTTACAAATTACTCACGATCAAACTGAATTTCAGTACTTGCAAATTATTCCGATTCTCTAGATGATAGCAACCTTGTATTCGACTTTGATGTGCAAATTGTTCAGAAAGGAAAAAAAAAATAGTTTTAATTGCAATGATGAGTCTTGAGATAAGAAAATGTGGTGAATCTCTCATCTCCAACCAAAAAGAGAGGGGAGAAAAAGGCAGAATAGCTTAAATGGCACATATACTTGTCCCATTTTGTCATGCCGGTCTCTAAACTTAATAATTTGTTAATTGAACA